CACATGTTATCCCATGTTTAAGAAGGAAGTGTGCATTCAAGTGTTATCCTACAACATATGTTATCCCATGTTTAAGAAGGAAGTGTGCGTTCAAGTGTTATCCTACAACACATGTTATCCCATGTTTAAGAAGGAAGTGTGTGTTCAAATGTTATCCTACAACACATGTTATCCCATGTTTAAGAAGGAAGTGTGCGTTCAAGTGTTATCCTACAACATATGTTATCCCATGTTTAAGAAGGAAGTGTGTGTTCAAATGTTATCCTACAACATATGTTATCCCATGTTTAAGAAGGAAGTGTGTGTTCAAATGTTATCCTACAACATATGTTATTCAATGTTTAAGAAGGAAGAGTGTGTTCAAGTTTTACCCTCCAACATATGTTATTCCATGTTTAAGAAGGAAGTGTGTTTTCAAGAGTTACTAACAACACATGTTATCCCATCTTTAAGAAGGAAGTGTGCATTCAAGTGTTATCCTACAACACATGTTATCCCATGTTTAAGAAGGAAGTGTGCATTCAAGTGTTATCCTACAACATATGTTATCCCATGTTTAAGAAGGAAGTGTGCGTTCAAGTGTTATCCTACAACACATGTTATCCCATCTTTAAGAAGGAAGTGTGCATTCAAGTGTTATCCTACAACACATGTTATCCCATGTTTAAGAAGGAAGTGTGCGTTCAAGTGTTATCCTACAACACATGTTATCCCATGTTTAAGAAGGAAGTGTGTGTTCAAATGTTATCCTACAACACATGTTATCCCATGTTTAAGAAGGAAGTGTGCGTTCAAGTGTTATCCTACAACATATGTTATCCCATGTTTAAGAAGGAAGTGTGTGTTCAAATGTTATCCTACAACATATGTTATTCAATGTTTAAGAAGGAAGAGTGTGTTCAAGTTTTACCCTACAACATATGTTATTCCATGTTTAAGAAGGAAGTGTGTGTTCAAATGTTATCCTACAACATATGTTATCCCATGATTAAGAAGGAAGTGTGTGTTCAAATGTTATCCTACAACATATGTTATTCAATGTTTAAGAAGGAAGAGTGTGTTCAAGTTTTACCCTACAACATATGTTATTCAATGTTTAAGAAGGAAGAGTGTGTTCAAGTTTTACCCTACAACATATGTTATTCCATGTTTAAGAAGGAAGTGTGTGTTCAAATGTTATCCTACAACATATGTTATCCCATGTTTAAGAAGGAAGTGTGTGTTCAAATGTTATCCTACAACATATGTTATCCCATCTTTAAGAAGGAAGAGTGTGTTCAAGTTTTACCCTACAACATATGTTATTCCAAGTTTAAGAAGGAAGTGTGTGTTCAAATGTTATCCTACACCATATGTTATTCAATGTTTAAGAAGGAAGTGTGTGTTCAAATGTTATCCTACAACATGTTATCCCATGTTTAAGAAGGAAGTGTGTGTTCAAATGTTATCCTACAACATATGTTATCCCATCTTTAAGAAGGAAGTGTGTGTTCAAGTTTTACCCTACAACATATGTTATTCCATGTTTAAGAAGGAAGTGTGTGTTCAAGAGTTACTAACAACACATGTTATCCAATGTTTAAGGAAGTGTGTGTTCAAGTGTTATCCTACAACACATGTTATCCCATCTTTAAGAAGGAAGTGTGTGTTCAAGTTTTACCCTACAGCATATGTTATTCCATGTTTAAGAAGGAAGTGTGTGTTCAAGAGTTACTAACAACACATGTTATCCAATGTTTAAGGAAGAGTGTGTTCAAGTGTTTTCCTACAACATATGTTATTCAATGTTTAAGAAGGAAGAGTGTGTTCAAGTGTTTTCCTACAACATATGTTATCCCATGTTTAAGAAGGAAGAGTGTGTTCAAGTGTCTTCCTACAACATATGTTATTCCATGTTTAAGAAGAAAGTGTGTGTTCAAGTGTCTTCCTACAACATATGTTATTCCATGTTTAAGAAGGAAGTGTGTGTTCAAGTTTTACCCAACAACATGTTATTCCATGTTTGAGAGTTAAGCGTGTGTTCAAGTTTTACCCTACAACATATGTTATTCCATGTTTAAGAAGGAAGTGTGTGTTCAAGTTTTACCCAACAACATGTTATTCCATGTTTGAGAGTTAAGTGTGTGTTCAAGTTTTACCCTACAACATATGTTATTCCATGTTTGAGAGTGAAGTGTGTGTTCATGCACTAGGATATACAGTCTAGCAGTATTCTGCTCACTGACTGTTGAAAGGCCAGACCAGTGTAGGTGTCTCATCATCTGGTCTAGACATCATCACCTTGTCTAGACTGTTGCACAATTCTCAAGGATATGGCAGACGGACCATCCGACAAACACGACTAATCACGATCACTGAAAACACTGGTGCATCTACAAATGAGAAAGTTCCTGATTGATGTGACAGTGAGGTATCTTTACAGATAAAGTGTTGACTTGTCACGATGAAAGGTCTGGGTTCGAACCCCCATGTAGTAACAAGTCCCTCCTTGGTGGTATCTAAACATGTTTGGAGCGATGGGCCCAAATCCAAGACTACCCACATTATATTCTTGGTATGTCAGCACCGAGGCTTGAGTTTCACCAGCGTGGTACAAATCTGAAACTGCCATGTGGACTGAGATGGCTATTTATAAATTTATTTGTTATCAGTTCAGTGTTAGACAGTCAGAACAGGAGCAAACCATATTATGTCAGTGCTCCTTGAGTTTTTTGGCTCCATGCTAACACGTGGATGCCTTGCCTGTTCATAGAAATTAACCTGGAAAGACAACTTGACGTAATGGTGATAACACGTAAGGGTGTTAATAATTGCCACTTGTCCAAGCAACTTTCTCTCGATATATATGCCCAGCCAAGAGGCTGGTATGTGAGTGAGTGAGTTGGGTTTAACGCTTTAAACAGTATTCCAGTTATATCGTGGCGTGTCAGCTTAATGTGGGAGGAAAGCCCAAAGTGATGCAGGTATCAGACGTTTACCACTTCGGTGAACCCTATGAACGTGGGTATGGTGCGACAAACCTAGAAACAATCAGAGTTGACCGGGATTCCAACCCACAATCATAGGTTTCTGGCGTTTCTGCACAGCAAATCACGGCGCCTTAGACGACTGGGCCACCCTTGCCCCCGGGTGGTATGTGTTCTACAGTACCCCAAGGGGTGGTGGTCACAAATCCAGCCTGCAGGAAGCACTGTTCCAACACTATCATGATGGCCAAACCTGTGACTACAACAGCTCAATCCATGGCGTTCTTACACCAAGGTGCACAATCCACCAGGACACCAGTGGCGAATTCTTGCCATCATCCCAAACGGAAAAAAAGTGGGCAATATTGATTATTTTCTGATATCAATAAGACTCAGACTGTAACTTAACAGTGGTTGCCATGGACTGAACCAGTTTTCAACATGAGCAAGTCCATGCCATATGGCAGCCGACCACCCATCAGCGCTACACAGGAGGCACGAGCAAGTCCATGCCATATGACAGCCAACCACCCATCAGCAATACACAGGAGGCATGAGCAGGTCCATGCCATATGACAGCCAACCACCCATCAGCGGTACACAGTAGGCATGAGCAAGTCCATGCCATATGGCAGCCGACCACCCATCAGCGCTATACAGGAGGCACGAGCAAGTCCATGCCATATGACAGCCAACCACCTATCAGCGCTACACAGGAGGCACGAGCAAGTCCATGCCATATGACAGCCAACCACCCATCAGCGCTACACAGGAGGCATGAGCAAGTCCATGCCATATGGCAGCCGACCACTCATCAGCGCTACACAGGAGGCATGAGCAAGTCCATGCCATATGGCAGCCAACCACCCATCAGCGGTACACAGTAGGCATGAGCAAGTCCATGCCATATGGCAGCCGACCACCCATCAGCGCTACACAGGAGGCATGAGCAAGTCCATGCCATATGGCAGCCAACCACCCATCAGCGCTACACAGGAGGCATGAGCAAGTCCATGCCATATGGCAGCCAACCACCCATCAGCGCTACACAGGAGGCATGAGCAAGTCCATGCCATATGGCAGCCAACCACCCATCAACGGTACACAGTAGGCATGAGCAAGTCCATGCCATATGGCAGCCAACCACCCATCAGCGGTACACAGTAGGCATGAGCAAGTCCATGCCATATGGCAGCCAACCACCCATCAGCGGTACACAGTAGGCATGAGCAAGTCCATGCCATATGGCAGCCAACCACCCATCAGCGGTACACAGGAGGCACGAGCAAGTCCATGCCATATGGCAGCCGACCACTCATCAGCGCTACACAGGAGGCATGAGCAAGTCCATGCCATATGGCAGCCAACCACCCATCAGCGGTACACAGTAGGCATGAGCAAGTCCATGCCATATGGCAGCCGACCACCCATCAGCGCTACACAGGAGGCATGAGCAAGTCCATGCCATATGGCAGCCAACCACCCATCAGCAATACACAGTAGGCATGAGCAAGTCCATGCCATATGGCAGCCGACCACCCATCAGCGGTACACAGTAGGCATGAGCAAGTCCATGCCATATGGCAGCCAACCACCCATCAGCGCTACACAGTAGGCATGAGCAAGTCCATGCCATATGACAGCCAACCACCCATCAGCGGTACACAGTAGGCATGAGCAAGTCCATGCCATATGACAGCCAACCACCCATCAGCGCTACACAGGAGGCATGAGCAAGTTCATGCCATATGGCAGCCAACCACCCATCAGCGGTACACAGTAGGCATGAGCAAGTCCATGCCATATGACAGCCAACCACCCATCAGCGCTACACAGGAGGCATGAGCAAGTCCATGCCATATGACAGCCAACCACCCATCAGCGCTACACAGGAGGCATGAGCAAGTCCATGCCATATGGCAGCCAACCACCCATCAGCGCTACACAGTAGGCATGAGCAAGTCCATGCCATATGGCAGCCGACCACCCATCAGCGCTACACAGGAGGCACGAAGCAACAACAGAAAGCCGGTATAATCTGGGAGACATTTATTGAGTGATAGTTAAACCTCTGTACCAGTAAACATGAACAATATTGAGCTGCCTTTGAAGAACGACCAGTAGTAATAGATGAGACACCTCGTCCCTGTCAAGGATGATAATGAAATATAAGCATGTGATGCAGGAATAATGAACAATGAGAACTTATACCTATCACTGAATCAGTCACACGAAGTGTATTGTACAATTCAGCAACATGATATGACTGGAAGTGTAGGCCTCACCTTACTAAACACATGAATACTAAAAATGGATACTTATAGTTTCTTTTATCAGTCAGATTGTTGTTTTATTGCTATTTATGTACAATAAAATAATTTGTTTGAATTATTTTTTTGCTTTAGGTTTTTCTCAAAACAACATAAAACATTGTTTGCTGAATATGCTGGTTCCTCCTCCAAGAGAACAAAATTGTTTTGAAACCATGACCAAAAAACAAAAAAATTCCCTTCCAACCCACCCCAAGATAATAAACGGACATCACTCATTGATGCCAAGATGTGCCCACAGACACTTTAACTGACAGGGACAAGGCTGAAACAATGACTATCAAACAGAAACCCAGAACATGCAGAGGGTATCAAAGTTCCATAGACATCCAAAAACAAACATTTGCCAAACAGCTGAGCAAGATTTTGTTGGTCCCACACATGAATAGAACCTAGAAGTTATCACAAGTATCAATAGCGAGACTTTGGAACTTTGACACCAAATCTGCTACCCAACAACCAAACATAATCTCACATCCACAAGTGTAGGATATGTAAACGTGTTATTTGTAAGTGTAAAATATCAAAGATCATTAGAACCTTAGCTGGAAATGACTGGATAAAACAAACCAATTGTTTTTGTACAGATGTAAAGTCTCACCTTAGTTAATCATCTATTAAAAGAGAATACTCACCTACACCTGACAAAACAATCTGCAGTACTACAACAACTACATGATCAAGAATTGATCTCTGGCTGAAGGGAACTAGAATTGATGTTATTTAGTCTACATAACAAAGGACCTTCAATCATAGACATATAATTATGTACCATTCTGTCAAATATCTAATAAACTGATGGAGAGTAACATTTGCTTTACATGATCAACTTTTTAGATGGCCGGAGTTAGCATTTTGACACCAGATGTAGCCATACACTGAACACATTAACATTCCACACAGGGAAACCTCATTCATCTCAATCAATAGGCACCTACATAGTGGTGTTGAAGGCTGGAAATCCCAACTGACAAGGTTACCCTGTATGTTGAATACTGGACCCTATGTCTCTCCATGTGTATATTATTTAGACTATACAAGAAGAGAGCAATAGCAACATAAATGTTAACGTGTCAGATTATCTTGGTTGTAACACCCGACATCAGAACATGAATCAGTCCATTCACTCAGCATTCACCAAATATAGGATTGTCCTTTCATCTTGCACAGTACAATTCTAATCTACTGCTGCCTCCTGACTCATCAAAACTGATGACGCCTTGACTATCAAAACCAAATTCTGAAAAGCCAGAATCTAGCACCATAACCCTGCAATTGGTTGCAATGATTTTTAATTTTGTTCTCACCTTGGCACCAAAGTCTTCAAACAATAAATATATGAACTGAAAGATTTCTCATCTCAAAATAAAGATGATGATCTTGATGTCTAAGGCTTAGATGACTGAAATAAAACAGTTGTACATTTCTTTTATATCACCAATGTTAATCGATGAGGCCAGATAGTTTCACAAGTTGTTTAACAAATGCTGCTTAACCAATCAAAATATTTACACAAACAAGTTGGTAAAGTAAATAATTGTCTCCAGTTACTTCGACATTCTGAAGGTTTTTCTCTCCACTCCAGCAAACACTTCACCTGAAGCAATGGAGAACATTTCCCCCTAAAAAAACAGGTACTAAAATTGACCTTAAAGAATGACCCTAATTGTAACGTATGGGTAGATGGAACCGGTTGGATGTAGGCTCATAGCCTTGGAGACTTGTCATATGAAGCATGGCACACAGCGCACAGAAGCAGTGTTTGAGGGCAAAAGGCCACACTGTTATTGCACCACATCAATACATCAGTTAATCAAGTTATGCCATCATGAATCAGGACAAGACTGGGAAAATATGTATCACAAAATACTATACTGCAGAGATTTATATCAATACCTTCCCATAGTCCAATACAATCATTAAGTACACTTTACAAGAGCCATAATGAAAGGGGGCATGGTGTCGGTTCCAGCCCTTGTCGAGATGTACAAATACATTGGACATCAATAAAACAACAATATCTTGTACAGTTTTTCCAAATTATAGAAGATGGGAAACAGATTCCACATAGAAAGTAATCACAATATTTCTTCATAACAATCTCAATCAGAATACTCAATTTCATTTTAGAGCTTGGTAAGTACATCTTTTTCCTGATATATTTATTAAAAAAAATAATTAAAAAATCATCCCATCCCAAATCAACTGACACAAAGTCATGTTAGTGGGATGACCCTCTAGGTCTAACTACTCGAATTTCTTTGCTCTGCCCATTAAGTTTTGTCAGTCCTCATTCCAAACAGTGTCCAAGATTCCCACTTGAATGTGTCAAAATTGTGTCAAAAGTTGATGTGTCAAATTGTCTCGAAGTAAAAACTTCATCTGTGCGTTTTCCTTCTATATTCATCATGTTCGGTTGCAAGGAACCTTGAAGTGTTTACATAGGCCCCTTCACCACAACGATGTTTGACTGAGCTCTAAATTACTCTCTAGCCTGTGGAATTTATGTTTTCCTTTAGATGAACGTTTTGTGTTTCAAATATTAAAAAAGTTACACACTTATAATTCTATATTAAGAAAGACCTGTTTACATGGAGTGACTGCCCATATAGTTTCTATTGTAAAGTGGATCAAGCACAATGCAACAGATTGAAGCTAATGTACAAACTGTTAAATACTCTCAACACAGACCAGCAGACGTTCTGAATATCAGTTTATAGTACAGGGGCTTGTATTAACATATTCAATATATAATTATTCAAATATTCAATAACAGCAAGGATGGAAGAGCAAGAACTCTCGAGGTGATACTTTGGTAATGAGACAAAAGTTGTATGGACACACTGGTATTCGATGTCAGTCATGTATAATACTGGAACATCAATAGTAAAATAGATCTGTAAAAATATTTATGTAAAAGTGAAATACTACAGAAGGTATCTGAAGATAAGCGTTACTGCCGGAATCCAGGTAATTTGTGGCAGTGGCAATTTCCCCACTGCACACTCATGTTTAATCTCTTGCTTACTAATTTAGTTACACTGACAAGTAGGATGAAATGTATGTGTTCAGTGAAGTGAGATGACATTTTGCAACATGAGATGTATGGCACGGTTGTGGACAGCGATGGAGGCGGTGGCAGCAGTGGCTACATGTCGTGGTCAGCCACACTCTGCTGTAAGTACTCCTGGTATAATGTTTGCTGGAAAAAAAAAAAACATCTGTGAGATATTAGGTTCAACAAATACACAAATCACATCCTACTAGCAGGGTTAGAAATTAGCACTTGTCCTCTAGCCTGAGCCAGTACGTTTCAGTAATGTTGAAGGTATCCTAAGGGATGGTAGAATTTTGAGCATTTTGGGGTTGTTCCTATATGTTGTCACTATTCAGGCTGGTAGACTTTCTATGTTAATTTCAATCCCTGCACACGATCTCAGCTCAACACACAATGGACATATCTTCGCAGGAATGTGGAGAGGGGTCTCATTCACAGCTTAGTCAACTCTCACAACAGCTCAACACACAATGGACATATCTGGGCAGCAATGAGCCGTGAGATGGGGATTACCTTCTTGGATTTCACGGTGCTCTGTACATAGTCTCGGATCTCCAGAAGGTTCCTCTTCTGTTTCCTACTCAGAGTCGTCTTGGTCCTGCAGACACAAAGAAATAAATACTGAAAGGGTTTCAATTTCTATCACATTAGAAGCCAGCAACTAACTTGGACTATAAATTGGACTACAAATTGGACTACAAATTGGACTACACACGATTTTCTCAGATCATGCTCAAACCAACATGCTCTGTGGTGTTGATGGGGGAGTGGGGGCATGGGTTGCTCTGTGGTGTTGATGGAGGAGTGGGGGCACAGGTGGCTCTGTGGTGTTGATGGAGGAGTGGGGGCACAGGTGGCCCCGTGTGTGTTGATGGAGGATTGGGGGCACAGGTTGCTCTGTGGAGTTGATGGAGGAGTGGGGGCACAGGTGGTGTTGATGGGGGAGTTGGGGCACAGGTGGCCCCGTGTGTGTTGATGGAGGAGTGGGGGCACAGGTGGCACAGGTGGCTCTGTGGTGTTGATGGGGGAGTTGGGGGGAGTTGGGGGAGTGGGGGCACAGGTGGCTCTGTGGTGTTGATGGAGGAGTGGGGGCACAAGGTGGCCCCGTGTGTGTTGATGGAGGAGTGGGGGCACGGGTTGCTCTGTGGAGTTGATGGAGGAGTGGGGGCACAGGTGGCCCCGTGGTGTTGATGGGGGAGTTGGGGCACAGGTGGCCCCGTGTGTGTTGATGGAGGAGTGGGGGCACAGGTGGCTCTGTGTGTGTTGATGGAGGAGTGGGGGCACAGGTGGCTCTGTGTGTGTTGATGGAGGAACGGGGGCACAAGTTGCTCTGTGGTGTTGATGGAGTGGGGGCACAGGTGGCCCCGTGTGTGTTGATGGAGGAGTGGGGGCACAGGTGGCTCTGTGTGTGTTGATGGAGGAGTGGGGGCACAGGTGGCTCTGTTTGTGTTGATAGAGGAGTGGGGGCACAGGTGGCCCTGTGGTGTTGATGGAGGAGTGGGGGCACAGGTGGCCCCGTGTGTGTTGATGGAGGAGTTGGGGCACAGGTGGCTCTGTGTGTGTTGATGGGAGAGTGGGGGCACAGGTGGCCCCGTGGTGTTGATGGGAGAGTGGGGGCACAGGTTGCTCTGTGGTGTTGATGGAGGAGTGGGGGCACAGGTGGCTCTGTGGTGTTGATGGAGGAGTGGGGGCACAGGTGGCCCCGTGGTGTTGAGGGGAGTGGGGGCATGGGTTGCTCTGTGGTGTTGATGGAGGAGTGGGGGCACAGGTGGCTCTGTGGTGTTGATGGAGGAGTGGGGGCACAGGTGGCTCTGTGTGTGTTGATGGGAGAGTGGGGGCACAGGTGGCCCCGTGGTGTTGATGGGAGAGTGGGGGCACAGGTGGCTCTGTGGTGTTGATGGAGGAGTGGGGGCATGGGTTGCTCTGTGGTGTTGATGGAGGAGTGGGGGCACAGGTGGCTCTGTGTGTGTTGATGGGAGAGTGGGGGCACAGGTGGCCCCGTGGTATTGATGGGAGAGTGGGGGCACAGGTGGCTCTGTGGTGTTGATGGAGGAGTGGGGGCATGGGTTGCTCTGTGGTGTTGATGGAGGAGTGGGGGCACAGGTGGCTCTGTGTGTGTTGATGGGAGAGTGGGGGCACAGGTTGCTCTGTGGTGTTGATGGAGGAGCGGGGGCACAGGTGGCCCCGTGGCGTTGAGGGGAGTTGGGGCACAGGTGGCCCCGTGGTGTTGAGGGGAGTGGGGGCACAGGTGGCTCTGTGGCGTTGAGGGGAGTGGTCCTCACCTGGAGGAGAACTTGGCCAGCAGTAGGAGCAGCAGGGCCAGTGTCAAGATCCCGATGATGACGTAGTTGGTGTAATCCGTTGGGACAGTCTTCCACAGCTTGGACAGGGGGCCCTGTAACACACCAAGACCACAGTGTACATCAGTGAGTGAGAGAGTGAGTGGGTGAGTGAGGTTTTAAACGTTTTAGCAATATTCCAGCAATATCACAGCAGATGGACACTAAAAATGGGCATCACACAAACCTGGGCCTTCAGTGTGATGAGCGAACACTTTAACGACTAGGCTACCCCACCACCCCTATTATTCATCAGACAAGGATTAGATAAGTGTGTCACCTTGTGCTGCCATTCTGATCACCGATTCACACATTAGCTGCTTCATACTACCAGCACTGGGGTCTGAGTACAAATCTGTCTGAAGGTGTTTCATGTTTCAGGAAAGTGAACAAATGTGAGTAATCCTCATCTTAACCAGGCAAAAGAGGGGTTGAGAACTGGAGCAAACATATGCACTCGGATCTTCAGGGCCTAAGAAGATTATGATAAATGAATAGCTGTGTTAGAAAATTGTATTTTTTCACTCGATTTGCCTTCTGGAAATGGCAAAAGTGGTGGTCACCAAGGAAATGTTACTAGTCATTCCTGAAGTATACAGACCTCGGACTAGCCTGTGCTAATTTCTAACTAACAAGAACAGACCCCATCATACATACATCTGCTACAACAGTATTACAACAGTGAATGAGGTCATCAACAACATCTACATATTGCGAGCCTGTTGTTTGTTTAACAATGATGTCAACACTATTCCCTCCAAACCAGGATGGGAGACCCCAACAATGGTCTGAGAGCAGCCAGTGGGATGCAAGGACACAATCAGCAACACCTACTTCATTCTGCTCCCACTACATCAACATAGGCACAGACTCCCACAGGACCACACAATCAACATAGGGACAGACTCTCACAGGACCACTACATCAACATAGGGACAGACTCCCACAGTACCACACAGTCAACATAGGGACAGACTCCCACAGGACCACACAATCAACATAGGGACAGACTCCCACAGGACCACTACATCAACATAGGGACAGACTCCCACAGGACCACACAATCAACATAGGGACAGACTGCCACAGGACCACACAATCAACATAGGGACAGACTCCCACAGGACCACACAATCAACATAGGGACAGACTCCCACAGGACCACACAATCAACATAGGGACAGACTCCCACAGGACCACACAATCAACATAGGGACAGACTCCCACAGGACCACACAATCAACAAGCCCTTACAGATCTCAATTACAAGCATTGTAATCACAACAATAGTATTTACTGATCCATTCTTCACTCACCAGATATGTGGCCATCGTCACAACAAGGCTCTCCCCAACAAACTGGCTGAGGGTCTTTGGAGATGTGCTGATGAGGAATGTTGCTAGCAGTAACAGCGGCATTAACATCCCAAAAAGACTGAAGCAGAACCCTCGCAACCTCGCTCGCATGTTATTTGACCTCTTCACACTGATGGAGAAAACATTCAATATGATCAACTGTCTTTTTCATTACAGTTCTTTAAAAACTCATGTTTTGTGGATGTTTGTTGTGCCACACAAACACAATCCAACCAACAGTGAGCTTATTGTATGAGGAGTCGTAGCTGGTGTGAATGAGTGCTCATAATGTTGATCACTGGACTGTCTGGACCAGATTCAATTCCTTACAGGCTGCAATCATACAGTGAGTGAGTGAGTTAGGTTTAATGCTGATTTTAACAGTATTCCAGTTATATCCAACATGTCAGCTTAATGTGGGAGGAAAGCCCGAAGTGATGCAGGTATCAGAGGTTTACCACTTCAGTGAAACCCACGAACACGGGTATGGTGCTGACAAATCTAGAAACATAATCGGGGCGAACCGGGAATCAAACCCACAATCATAGGTTTCTGGCGTGCCCAAGGGATGCACCACTGCACAGCGAATCGCGGCGCCTTGGACGACTGGGCCACCCAAGCCCCCCTACAATCATACAGATGGAATATTGTTGAATGAAGCTTTAAACAATACGTTTCTCTCACCTGTCGTCCTGGAGGTTTCTCTGCACAATGTCAGCTATGTGGTCACAGTCTCTCTCCAGAGCATTCAATGTGTTCTGTATGGTCTGATTGATGGTCTTCTCAACCTCCTTACACACTTCCTCAATCTGGTTGGCACACCGACTGGTCTGTAACAAAGCACAGCATATGCGTAATCTGAGTGAGTGAAACTACTGGCATAGGACCACAGGAATTGGCTACAAGCATTGGTGGGAACTGACCCTGGTATTCTCTGGTATGACTAATGAATGAAAGCTTTAATCACTGGGCTAGTTTAACAACAAAATAACACATTTCAGAAAATCATTCTGAGTCCAAGAAGTCCTTACACTAAATCCAACAAGAGCTGTAATTGTGGATGTTGACAAAATATCATTTAGTGTAATCTACACCAAAATATCAACATAAATTGGCAGCTGATGGGGAGGGAGAAAACAAGATAACATCATCAAAGTGGAAAACAAATCTTTTCTAAAAAGGTAGATTATTTTATACATATTACAAAAAATGTTGAAAGTAAGTCCAAGACATCTAAAATCATCCCAATGAAAATAGATGTGAAATAAACAAACTTACAATCCAATAATGCAACTTTGACCAAAGGCTCTCAGTGTCTGAATATCAAGAAATCCCAGTTATCTCCCCTTGATCAAACTTTGCCCAGTTCAATCACTAAGTCCAAATGAAGTCTTCACCTTCACATTAAACTCATACACATTTCAGTATCAACCTGCAGTACAAAATTTAGATAGAAAACAAATTCTCTTTACAAATAGTTGCAAAGTATATAAGACCCTGATGCATGATGCCTTGACTGAGCATGTCATAAATCATCTATCATTTCTCTATTCTGCTGCCAATCAATAGATCGCGTAAAGTGATGGCTGCATGCAAGTTACTTCACACCACTGAAATATTCCAGCTATGCCACACCAATAACGTAGGCTGGACCAGGCAAGTCAGTGGTCAATAACATGAGCAAGGGTCCATGCCATTGTAGAAACTCAACACTGCCCCGTCTGATGTCAAGCAGACCTACTCTGGGTACCCAAATGACCTAGTCTACTCAAAACAAAAAGTTTAGGATCACCTGATTCTTTCACATTACTAGTTATTTTGTCATGGCATGACAGGCGAGGTGTGGTGAGGTGAAATGGCCCACTGACATACCATGCTACAGTTTAACATGAATAGCCCACGCAGACACAGTATACTGACTCCGAGCTGACCTGTCCTTGTTTTAGCCCCTTAATTGACGAGCGCCAGACAGGGCGATTGGATCTTTTACGTCTTTTGGTATGACACGGCCGGTGATCGAACCCTGTTACCTTCAACTCTCTGGGCGGACGCTCAACCACTAGACCACAGAGGTGGCATGGCATGGCATGACAGATCAACTATAGTATTATGAAAGAACTGGGTGGACCTCAACCTTTGAGCAGAATATCATGTGTTGTCTGTGTGTCTCACCTTCTGGTTCATGGAGGGGATGTAGATGGTGGGCATGTCGAAGCCGGTGCGGTTCAGACCCGGGCGCTTGCACAGCTCCTGTACGATCTGCATCATCACGCGCTGCAGCAGGAAACAACACATCAAGCCCACAACTAAACTACTGTGTATGGATTAATAGGAATAATTCCAGAATCTATCAATCAAGCATTAAGGAATCCTCAAGTTTATGAAAAGAGGATAAAAATAGACTGTTGGTATTGAGAAGGGGATGAGAATGGATTGGTTTAATATGTTTAAGAAATACACGACGAATGGGAGTTGTTTATCGTACAATAAAGTACTGCAGGGACAATAAACCATGAGGGGCCCAGCGAGTTATATCGTACGCTAAACAACGACCAAGAGCTGTTATTTCTTAAATATATTAATCCATTCTCTGTAAAGTTTGATATTTCCTGGATATTCTCACAATTTTCATGTCGATTGTCCGTACCCTTTCTCCCAATACCAAATGTCATATCTCTTCCACATTTGGATTTAATCCTTCGAGCATTGCGTATATCTATGTTGACCAGCTACATCTATGGGGAACAATTCACTAGACACTTGGGATTAGTAATGTAGTATGGTGAATAAACTTAAGAGGTATTGAGTGTGTTCTGAGATAGATTTGTTGACATATGTACAAGTAGACATATATATTAGGTTGCATGTTTCAATAATAGGTTGCATTGGTGCATGTTTTATACAGCTACATCGTAGATTCTAGAGTGACTACAGCAAATATAACACCATGAATGACTGTCATCCTGTATTTGCACAGGCAATATTATATATTGACTTCATTATCTTGTTTAACAGGATGTAAACAAACAACATCTTGGGCCAGAGGCCATACATTGAAATAGAATCGAAGGACAATGGCTGGGTCGGATGACTACACAATCAACCAAGTGCTCCACATCTATACTAACACTGGTTCCTACTGAGCGGACATCAGCCCCTACTAACCTGTCGGTCACTCTCATGTCCTGCGTCGTCAGCCTTACTCAGGTAGAACTTCATCCTGTCAGCATGTTTGTCATTCAGCTTCTCCACAATGTTGAGAGTTCGCTTGCATAGTGCCTGACCAATTGGGTCGAAGAACACAAAGATCAAATCTGCCAGGTCGCCTGTTGGTCACAATAAATGCGATGCAGTGAGACAAAATAGATAATTTTCAGAAAGTCTGACTGCATGACTCAACATGGGTTTACTGATATGATATCAGATTGCAAAATGTAATTAATTAAACAAAAGGACATAGATTTGGGCATTATTCTTCAACATCACAATCGGCCATCCAATCCTCTTCATACTCAAGTTACTGGCAACACATCGACCTTCCGTAAACATTCAATACCATTCAATGCCCTTTTGTGTCTGCATGACCACTCAATCTCAACACCACAATCCAATTCCCAGTTTACTACCCATCACCATCCAATCCCCAGTTTACTACCCATCACCATCCAATCCCCAGTTTACTTCCAATCGCCATCCAATCTCCAGTATACTACCCATCACCATCCAGTCCCCAGTTTACTTCCCATCATCATCCAATCCCCATTTTACTACCCATCGCCATCCAATCTCCAGTATACTACCCATCACCATCCAGTCCCCAGTTTACTTCCCATCATCATCCAATCCCCATTTTACTACCCATCGCCATCCAATCTCCAGTATACTACCCATGACCATCCAGTCCCCAGTTTACTTCCCATCATCATCCAATCCCCAGTTTACTTCCAATCGCCATCCAATCTCCAGTATACTACCCATCACCATCCAGTCCCCAGTTTACTTCCCATCACCATCCAATCCCCAGTTTACTTCCCATCACCATCCAATCTCCAGTATACTACCCATCACCATCCAGTCCCCAGTTTACTTCCCATCATCATCCAATCCCCATTTTACTACCCATCGCCATCCAATCTCCAGTATACTAACCATCACCATCCAATCCCCAGTTTACTTCCCATCATCATCCAATCCCCATTTTACTACCCATCACCATCCAGTCCCCAGTTTACTTCCCATCATCATCCAATCCCCATTTTACTACCCATCACCATCCAGTCCCCAGTTTACTTCCCATCACCATCCAATCCCCAGCCAATCCCCGGTTTACTACCCATCACCATCCAGTCCCCAGTTTACTACCCATCACCAGCCAATCCCCGGTTTACTACCCATCACCATCCAGTCCCCAGTTTACTACCCATCCCCAGCCAATCCCCAGCCAATCCCCAGTTTACTACCCATCACCATCCAATCCCCAGTTTACTTCCCATCATCATCCAATCCCCAGTATACTACCCATCACCATCCAATCCCCAGTTTACTACCCATCACCAGCCAATCCCCGGTTTACTACCCATCACCAGCCAATCCCCAGCCAATCCCCGGTTTACTACCCATCACCAGCCAATCCCCGGTTTACTACCCATCACCAGCCAATCCCCAGTTTACTACCCATCGTCATCCAATCCCCAGTATACTACCCATCCCCAGCCAATCCCCAGTATACTACCCATCCCCAGCCAATCCCCAGTATACTACCCATCCCCAGCCAATCCCCAGTTTACTACCCATCCCCAGCCAATCCCCAGTATACTACCCATGGTCATCCAATCCCCAGTATACTACCCATCCCCAGCCAATCCCCAGTTTACTACCCATCACCAGCCAATCCCCAGTTTACTACCCATCACCAGCCAATCCCCAGGTTACTACCCATCACCAGCCAATCCCCAGTTTACTACCCATGGTCATCCAATCCCCAGTATACTACCCATCCCCAGCCAATCCCCAGTATACTACCCATCCCCAGCCAATCCCCAGTATACTACCCATCCCCAGCCAATCCCCAGTTTACTACCCATCACCAGCCAATCCCCAGTATACTACCCATCCCCAGCCAATCCCCAGTATACTACCCATCACCAGCCAATCCCCAGCCAATCCCCGGTTTACTACCCATCACCAGCCAATCCCCAGCCAATCCCCGGTTTACTACCCATCACCAGCCAATCCCCAGCCAATCCCCGGTTTACTACCCATCACCAGCCAATCCCCAGTATACTACCCATCCCCAGCCAATCCCCAGGTTACTACCCATCCCCAGCCAATCCCCACTTTAGTTTTCATCACCATCCAATCACCACTCGCCATCGATTTTGAGCGAATAGGATTTACCACTGTCAAAAACATTCACATATGAAAACACATCCTGATAACTAAACTGCATGTCCTTGTTTTATCTCCAGTACCTACCCAGCCAGAGGATGGACTTGTTCACATCGAAGGGGTACTTCATGTCCCCATCAACAAGACCGGGGGTGTCCACAAATGTAACAAGGCTGAACTTCTTCTGTTTGGATGTGGAGATCTCTGTTGTCAGGTAATCGATGACCCCTACAAAAAAATAAAAAGAAGTTATATCTGTTACATCATGAAACAGACAATACTGAGTTAAACGTTACAGTAAAAGCTTTTCTGAAAGAAGTAAGGTAGTCAGCTTCATTGTCTATTCCAACAGTACTTCTGCAATCACTGGACACAAAGTTAGGGCTTCACAAACTGCCCCCATGTGGGGGAGTCACAAGGGAACAAGCCAAATACATAATGGGTTACTCCGCCCCTTTTCCTGAACTGGACAGCCACAAAAAGCTGCTAATATGGCGTCTTTGACAAACTGTCCACACCAGTATACTGCCATCCCTAGGAAACATTGGGACACAGTATAGAAGTCAGGGAACACTTTCAATGAATTCAAAATAAAAAACAATCCCATTTCTACGAAAAATGCTTAAGAAACTGACTTCACTGTCCGCATGACATGATCTTCAACCCTATGTCATGTTTTTGCACACCTATTTTCTTGTGTATAGTACGCACTTGAGTGAGTGAGTATGGTTTTAAGCCGCTTTTAGCAATATTCCAGCAATATCACGGCGGGGGACACCAGAAATGGGCTTCACACATTGTACCCATGTTGGGAATCAAACTCGGGTCTTCGGCGTGACGAGCAAACGCTTTAACCACTATGCTACCCGACCGCCCCTAGTACGCACTTGAGCCTGATCCACATGCACCATACTTCGGAGCAAATTGCTATGTTGTGAATTGCGAGCAGTCAAAACTGCCTTATATGTCTTCAGGTAAACAAACGGGAGATAATGCTTCTGTGATTAAAGTTTAGACATGATGATTTACAATATCAGTTGCATTTCCTGTTTGGACAGGCTTCTTTTCGTACACAGAGATTAAGATTATCGCATGTAATTATCTCATAAAACTAGCCGGAAATAGCAGTCAGCTGTACACATATCCTGTACATGTCATGTTCTAGCGGTGACTCAGTTACAACAGAGCCAGTATAATAAATCAAAACAATGTTAATGCATGATCGGAAGAAATACATCTGTAACCATTATTGAACAAGAAATAATACAATCTAATATTGTGTTATTATAAAATGAATCCTAAGTTTGCAACCGCTTCTACAGTTGGTGTTTTGGGAGAACACAAGAAAATACGGCAGCATTTAGTGAACGGACATTTGTTAAGAAATTGCTGTTGTGACAGATTATTTGCATTGAATAGATAACTTGTAGACCCATCATGGCGGAAATGAAAGTGAACATCTCTGCTTGCAGGTTTTAACATGACCCCTATTTTTTGGAGCCTGTGGTCTCCTCCCACTATGAAGTAATGCCACATGAACAATGGGGTCAATACATAGCTGAACTGATGGCATCATTCCCTGACTTGGAAAGAACACAGAGACAAAGAACACAAAGATTAATGACTCAGGTTTTGCTTACAAAGAAAACAATTTTGTCTCCCATATTTGAAACAACAGCTCTTATTAATGTTGTGTCCACAATAATTAACATTGCGGTACATCCCCATTATAACAACACTATTCATAACTGATTACCAAAACAGCATCGCCAACACAGCATCTCACACACAGCATCTCCAACAAAGCATCTCCAACAAAGCATCTCAGACACAGCATCTCCAACACAGCATCATCGCCAACAAAGAATCTAACACACAGCATCTCAAACACAGCATCTCCAACAAAGCATCTCACACACACAGCATCTCAGACACAGCATCTCACACACACACCATCTCACACACACACACCATCACACGCACACAGCATCTCACACACAGCCTCACACACACAGCCTCACACACACACACCATCACACACACACACACACCATCTCACACACACCATCTCACACGCACACCATCTCACACGCACACCATCTCACACGCACACCATCTCACACGCACAGCATCACACACGCACACCATCACACACGCACACCATCTCACACACACACCATCACACACACACCATCACACACACACCATCACACACACACACCATCTCACACACACAATCTCTCAATCACCATCTCACACACACAGCATCTCACACACACAGCATCTCACACACAGCATCTCACACACAGCATCTCACACACACACACACCATCTCACACACACACCATCTCACACACACACCATCTCACACACACCATCTCACACACACACACCATCTCACACACACACCATCTCTCCACATGGTCTGCCCTTACAAGTATTAAAATACAATCCATCCAGATCATGTGATTCAACACACAGGTCAATGGCCTGTTCTACAACCTTAAGTCACACGGAACTTGATAAACAGTTACCAATGCACTATTGATTACATCTACAGAGGGTTTGCTTGGCCGAACCGTGACATGGGTTGATTTACACATTAAAGTTGAAGAGACTTCCAAAACGCCATGCAGTGTCTACAAGCATGGGGTCTCCTTTTTGACCTGCTTGTCATCTGCAGCAGCAAGAGCGCAGACGCCACTGACAGGACATGGCGGTAAAACCTGGACCCCTGACAGAACTTCCAGAACGAACATTGGCAATGTGACCAAAGAAATTACAGCCTGGAGTCAATAACAAAATAATGGCGACTGCGCCGAGTTCAGAGCTAGATACGTCTTCTGTAAAATAAGATGCTGAAAAGATTTGCTTTGTTCATGGCCGTTATGGTGAAGTAAATGGCTTCTATTGAAGAAAGAATTTTGTGAATGACAAACAATATTGGATTTCTATTTGTTAATAAACTCTGGGAATATTGAATCTCTCTTAATATTTGAAAAAAATAACTGCTGCGGGAAAACTCTCACAGTTCTGCAGCCAACAAATGTTAAAGCTCATTTCTTGCTTCAAGTGCATATTTCCCTTTACTATTGAGCTTTGTGGTGTAGGAAAATGGACCAGGGCTAATTGACAACCCCAGTGACAGAAGGAAACAAATTGTGGTGAAACGAACCAAAACTTTAACATTACAGTAAGTGAAACCCTGCCCTTGTCCAAACTGAACGCAGGATTAGTAGTCACAAACTGAACAATCATTTAGCCATCTGTAACTGAACACCAAGGTAGACAGCCCAAACTACAACAAGTTAGCTGTTCCGAACTGAACAAGTTAGCCGCCCCAAACTGAATACCCAGTTAGCTATCCCTTCCGTGTTGATGTTACCACCAACCACAGCCCTTCATTTGGCAGCTCTTGGTGTGTCAAGACAGCTGACCAAAGGAAGAGCGATGGTGGACAGTCTAGGCTGCAGAAGGACCAGCTGAATGTACTGAAATGCTATCTGTTGTGGGTTAATACATCTGTTCCTCCTTTCACAGAAAAAGATGGTATATCTTGAGGCACTGACTGAACAATAATGAACAACCAAAACAGATTATAAACTTATCAACACACAAGAGTCAAAACAAACACAAAAGTCTGTTCAACAAATCCAATCCCTGGCATCAGTTGTCTCCCTTTGTATAAAGTAATGTCAAGAGTGACATCCCTTTGCAGTTTTTTCCTCTCAGCAGAACAGCTCTTCATCAGGCAGCTTGAGTCGACTACAAGGCTACCTCATGACGAGCCGGCTGCTGACAGGCCAAGTCTCCATGGCGACAGTGAGTGAATGAGTGAGTGAGCAACGAGCGGGTGGGTGTTTGGGTGAGTGAGTGAGTAGGTGAGTGAGTGAGTGATTGAGTGTCTGTCCATGATCATTCCGTATTTAAGGTTAAACATGATGGGCCACAACAATCGTCAGAAAGGGAAATAAAAGATGGAGTCTGCACATTAAAGACAAAAGACAAGCAAGGAAAAAGTAATCAGACATATGACACAAATGACAATGTGAAAACAATAAATAACTTTTCATTACTGAAAGATAAGACAAAACAAATAAATGTCTCTTTAGAAGCTGACGCAAGTATTGAAGAAAGATGACTGACATACATACAATAGAATGAGGCAATGAAAAGATGAAATAAGGATTCTGAGCCAGTTGAACTGTGGTATTTCAGTGTACTGTATGCAATACAATACAAAGTTTACTGTTTGGAACACAATTCAGCACAAAAATAAACCCATAGGTAAACTTCCAAACAAAAATAGCACAAATTATATTAACAGCCTAGCACTGTTTGCCAATCCTTCACCCAAACTTCTTTTATTGGTTCACCGTTTTGCTGAAATCCTTTCATATCAGCTTCATTTGGCTAATAGAACAATGAATAATAAACTAAATCAAATTTTGTCTAGACATGTGCAGAATCAAGCCAGCAGTTGTGTTGTTTGATTCCAGAAGTATTCATTCACAAAAAGGTGTGTGGCTTACGTCAGCCGCAGTCGCACCCAAATGCGAAGAGACTGGCAGGGTGCCATCACAATGCCTCCCTCTGTCCTTCCCAATCAGGTTCACCTGTGGGGTCAGACCGGCAGAGGAAACTATGACTCAGCAAATTCATGGCATACCTTCACAGCTGACACACAGTGGAGGTATGAGCCTGTGTACCATGGAAACATTGCTTGTGAATTTTGCAGGAAAAACAAATATTCCATAATTGAAACTACCCACTAGCACTCTGATATCACTTAAACTTGGCAACTTCAAATGGCGTGAATAAACAAAAATGGTCAGTAAATATGTCAATTTGAAAAATTCCCCACTGGTGTATTGTCTACACACATCTCACTGGTGTTGGCATGTTAATTGTTTAATGCAAAAACAATTTCTGACACTACCCTGACAACACAGAAATGTAACTGGCAGAAGAAGTATTCCAGTCAGTGATCCTGTACAGTACCTAGAGGGATAAATGAGCACACATGAATGTGAACCGAGTGAGTGAGTGAGCGAGAGGTTTTACGCCACTTTTAACAATATTTCAGCAATACCACGGCACGGAAAATGGGCTCCACATATTGTAACCATGTGGAGAGTCGAATCGGGGTCTTTTGCGTGGCAAGAAATCGCATTAACCACTAGGCTACCCCACCACACCAGTGTCTCCTCGAGGCAGTCTACCATAGG